CGAATGGATTCCAAGGGATGGACCCTTTGCATTCCTTCTGAAGTGATTGACAACTGTTGCATTAAATGCGCAGGCTAGTCGACGTATTTAATGCCCAGGCGCATTCAATGTCCAAGCACGTCGTGCAGGCCATCATTGCCCAACTTACGTGAGGCGTCGCTTCGTTTTCGTCAGACGAAAAGACAGCCTTTGGGCTTTCGACACGTCATTGTGCTTTTTGAGTACGCTTGTCAGAACGTTACGTCTCTTGAGAGAGCCACGCCCTTTCGTTTTCGAATTCTAGCACCAATATAAAAACCCAAACTTCTTCGTTTCTTCTTTACGCTTTCAGAACCCTCAGACGCCCAAGCTTTGCCAAAAACCCTTCTCTCAAACCTTAAAGCTTACCAAGCTCTCGAACTTCCAAGTTTCACCAAAAAATCTTGCCTGAACTCGCAACTTTCTTTCACTCTTGAGTTTCGCCCTTTCCAGAATATGCTCAACTATTCCAGTTTCTACGGCAACTTCGGTGTAGAGGACAGCGCCGAAGATGACGCTATCGCCCCCCTCGGCGAAGTTGAGCACGTTGCTTTAATGGCCTCCAGTACCCCCACATCTGCCGAAGCTCGGTCACAAGCCTTCCAGGCTAAGTTTGAGGATATTTGCCGACAAATCCAGGGCTCGGTCCTCCCCGACATCATCACGCCCTGGTCCGATGATGACGGTATCCCTACTGACTCCTGCATCCTCGGTCCCTCCGTAAATGGCGGAATGCCAGAGAGGCTAGTGGCTCTCATGAAGAACGATCTGGTGGACCTCTCGGCCTTCGACGGGGGGGATTTCCAAGATTGGAACGTTGTCAGGCCGCAGCAGCAATGGCCAACCGTGACCCCGGATTGGGAGAAATGGCTGCCGAGGATGGAGCATTTCTTCGGCCAGCAATGGAAGGATCAAGGCATCTACCACTTGATCAAGCTGTTCGATCAGCCGCTCATCATGGACCGGTCTCTTCTGGTCGCGACCCTGTGCTTCTGGTCGTCGGCCACCAATACCATGAACTTTCGGTTCGGTATGATGACGCCGACCGTTCTGGACATGGCCGCTCTGTTTGGCCTCTCTCCTCTCGGCGTGGAAGTAAACGCCGCACTTGTTGCTCCCGAGGTGGAAGGGAGCTTCGAAGCCGCATGGCCTACTCTTACGAGAGTCACCGGGAGCAAGGCGAAGAATATGCTCAACTATTCCAGTTTCTACGGCAACTTCGGCGTAGAGGACAGCGCCGAAGATGACGCTATCGCCCCCCTCGGCGAAGTTGAGCACGCCGTATTCTTGCTGTACTGGCTGTGCAAGTTTGTGTTCTGCACCCAGGCGAACAAGGTCACCCTGGAGTTCGCCCACTTGGCCGATTACCTTGCGCAGAGAGGAAGATTAGCACTCGGCCCATTCCTGCTCGGCCACATCTACCGCACGCTTCATGACAAAGAAGGGCGGTCCACTGTGGGCCTTTCAATTCTGGCTGCAGGCTTACTTCCCGGAGCTGAGGGGGATGGCCAATATCAGTGACACCAAGCCGCTGGCCAATGCATTTGCCCGGGCCCCCAGGAAACATCATACCTCGGCATTCTGCTACAAGTTCTTCTATGGCCTAGCCGAGAGAACGGGTACACAGTTCCGTGTCTGCCTTACTCGGTCGTTTCCCAGCAGCATGGCGTAGCTGGTATCTCCTTCCAGCTTCAAAAGGGGATGACTTTCCTGACTCTGACGCCCTGGTAGCGTCGTAATGCGTATGACGAGGATGGAAGGGTCTGGTACGAGGAGTGCATCTCGGCCAGATTTATTCGGCCTGTTGAGGAAGCCGCGAGGGCGGCTCTGAAGAACGCCGATTGGGACCCTCTCCCCCTCAAAGGCAGCAAAGTGAAGAAGGTATCGACCGAGCCTCCTCGACTGAGTACCTCGGCCGCGACCGTGCCCAAGGCGGTGGCCCCTCCCGTGACTGGAGCACCGGTTGTGGCCTCTACCATGGCCCCATCTTTAACCGCGGCCCCGGTCCCCAGGGCGACTCCTGCAGTGGGGGCGCGAAAGACGCTAGCGCACAGGACCGTGCCGTCCTCTCCTCCTGCCCGGCCGAGTGCCGTCACTGGTACGTATCCTCCCCCCCTTTCTCTTTATCCGTTTCCTTTTCCTCGGCCTCCCTGAGCCACCTCCGTCCTTATTTATCTCACTCTCCTTTTCCTTTGTATACGTAGCCCCGGGTCGCAAGAGGGGTCGAGAGGTCTCAAGTGCTGATGCTGCTCTGGCCGAGACGACGGCCGGGAGTATTGCGATTGAAACGGCGGCGCCAGCGTGGCCGAAGAAAAGGGCCCTCATTATTTCCGCGGAGGGTGAAGGTGAGGAGGAGGTCACGACTGAGGTGCCGGTCGAGGAAGCAGTTGCCACTGAGATGGCAGTCGAAGAGGAGGTCGCGGCCGAGATGGTGATTCAGGAGGCGGCCGCTGAGGAAGTGGTGGTGGGAGGGGCAACTGCTGTCGACACAGCGTTCGCAGAAGTGTCAGCCGCAGAGGAGGCCGCCGAGGAGACTGCCGACGAGGGCACTGAAGAGGCTACCGAGGAGGCCGCTGAAGAAGCCGTCGAAGAGGCCACTGCGGACATACCCGTCGAGCTGTCGCCGTCCACTCCTCGTCGTCCAAGCGGCATTTCCGCTCCTCGTCGAAGAGGCCACTGCCGTCCGCTCCTCGTCGTCCTCGGTAAGAGTTCGCTTTCCTTATACTTAACTTTATTGTTCTCTTTTCAGAATTGCACTATACTCCTAACCGAATTTTGTCTCCAGCCTCCCCAGTCATCGCTGCCGCTGTCCACGATTGCTGTGACCATGCCCCTTGCGCCGTTGTCCTAGGACTCGACGGTCGTGAACGGCCTCGGCTCCCTTGGACAAAGATTCCAAGACCGTCACTTGACGGTCGTGATCGGCCTCGGCTCCCTTGGACAAAGATTCCAAGACCGTCATTGAACAGCTCTGCGAGTTCCTCCTTCTTGGAGTTCATCAAATGACCGCCGCCGGGGCGCTTATGGAGTTTAGGTCCTGCTTGGATACGGCTATGGTGATCGGTCTGCTAAACTCGGCTCAACTGGATGAGCTGCAGGCCCATCTGGCCAAAGGCGAGGAGATGATCGGCCGGTATGCTGAAGCCGTTACGAGGATGGCCGAAGGGAGCTCGCTCGAGCAAGAGCTGGTGGAGATCAAAGAACAAGTCCACCCTGCAATGGCCCGATTGAAAGAGAATGACCTCGTCCTCCAACGGGAGAATGAAGAGCTTGCGCAGGTTGAGGCCCAGATTGCCGAGCTCCAGGCTCGTCGGGATCTCATACTCCAACACCGAGATGGCGCAGTTGCAGTCGGAGCCGAACTGAAATCTTCGGCCAAGCGAATCCTCAAAGCGGCGACCGAGACAAAGAAAGCATTGGCTGAGAGGAAGCTGATCCGGGCGAGGTGGCAGGCGGACATAGACGGCGGGGACATCGCCTGGAGGAGGATCACGTGCTTGATCTGGGGCATGTTCAGCGAGGGGGTCTAGGCGAGCGGCGAGCTGCCAGTTTTAAATATATGTTTCTTTTTGGGATGTAATAATTAACTATATACACACATTTTATTTCTATATTTACAAACATATTTTCTCTTTTGTTCACGACCACAAATAGATATATGTATACGCTATTTCGGTCGTGACTGGCCGTTCTCTCTTCTTGTAAGAAAAGACCCTTTTATCTAAATGTAAGGCGAGGGCCTTCTTTTCTGAAAGACTACACGCAAACTTCCCTCTTTATACGTTGCCCGCGCCTTTGTCTAGCCTGTCCGGCTACTTCCATTTTTCTTTTTCTTGACTTTTTTGTCGTAGGTCCTTAGCGCCATTTTCTTTTGAACTTGCACCGAGTTGTAGGCGCCAAGTCTCGACTGTTGTAAATTTTCTGAGCTTTTGGGCACCATCTGCGAGTAATCCTTCCTCCTTCGGCTATGTTGCCCGATAACTTGAAGAACTCGAACCCTCAGCTTTAATAGCTTATTAGTGTCATGGCCCTTGGCCGAGACATAAGGAGATGTGCACACGGCCATTTTTTTTGAAGCGCGGTGTGCCCAGAAAGCTTTAGGAAGTAAATTTCGCCAAACTCCAGGTTTCCTTGATGAACATGGCTTAGCGTAGACTGGCGTCCCCGGCCATCACTGAATGAAGCCGTCCTCGGTCATATACCGGGTTCCTTTGACCTTAAGCCCTCGAGGGGCCCTCTCCTGTTGGTCATCATTTCGCGGCCTTACATGCTGGGTTTTTTGAGCAAAGGGCTCGGCCGCTGCGACCGAGCTGGGTGGTCTTAGAGGAAAACCGCGGACTTGACCGAGGTTCGTTTGGCCCGCCACCTGGTTTCGTTGGATTGCACCCTCATGGGAACCTAGGTATGTCTGCGTTGTCGTCGGAATGGCCAGATCGTGTATTTGTAATGGCAGTGCAGCAGTCAAGCCTTTCTGATCACGTCGTTGTGGTGACGCTTCGGTCACGTTGCTCTGGCCGGACTGTGCCTGGTCGGCCAAAGTTGGGGTCGGGCCGAGACTTTGGACCGTAGACGATGCAGGGCTACCCCGCCCTAATGCTTTGGCTAAAGCATGGAGCGGGATGCGCGCTGTCTCTGCTGAGTAGGTTGGCCCAGAAATCGCCCATGTGGGCTATGACTGCCCCCAGCTGTTTGTCGGCGGCAAGGAATGCTGGCCGTAGCCTGATGCTTGGGTGTGGGCCGAGACACCGAGGCTGCTGCTTTCTCCGTAAGGCTCGATGCTCTGGGAGTTGTCGCGGGTGAGGCTACCAGCATCCTCTCCTGAAAGAGCGTTCGCAGCTCAGAGGAGAATCTATCCATTGTGGCCATGAAGGATGTTTCTATCCTGTAGGCCTGCTTGGACATTAGCTCCTCTATCCTGTAGGCCGTACGATCCGTCGTTACTGGAACGCTAGCCGAGATCCCGACCGAATGCTCGGTCTCGGTGATAGTGATTGGTGAAGTGGACTCAGGAGTCTCAGAAGTCATTTCGACTGCTTTGTTGTTTAGCTTTGCCTGTGCCCTAGTTTCCACCATAAGTTTTGACAAGTATCCCACCGGGCATGCCAAAAGTGTCTACCAGGCAGATCTCACGGCCTGGGTTTCCGGGCCGAGGGGATATGCGTTGACACGCGGCTTCCTGCTTTTGGGTGCGGTGCGTTTGTGCACGGGTGTGCCAGCACGGTCTACCGTGCGTCGAGATGATTGATGTCGATAGAATGGTTAAGTGGTGCGCCTATCTGGACTCGTCTTCTAATCAAACGATTGTAGCTGAGAGAGGAACTAATCTCGGCTATTAGGTTCACGGCCTGAGCTACAAGGTCGTTTAGTGATGGTGTCGGTGGGTTTTGGGCGGTGCTCCGGCGCGTTGCTCAGGGAGCGACAGTCATATGATATATGAGGTGAATGAGCGAATAACAAGGATGATGCTTCGGCGCCTTGAAAATCAAGGGTCGTATGATATATTGATGAATGAATTTTCCTTACAGTCTAACACTACTCCTAGGAAAACAAGTAAAGATATTGAAAGTGTATTACAGGAAAATATAAGTTGCTCCGTGGGAGGCTTTGGTTTACATCGCTCAAGTATTCTCACGCATTCTTCATCAGTCCAGTCATGCAATGTCCACTGTTTGTCAGACACAATCACCATACAAGATCACAAATGGAAATCTGTATTTAACAATATAATATCACTAAGGATGAGATGATTTACCTTCAAAAAAATAGCGTCGCCCGCAGGAACAGCCTCAAACATATCCTCTGCGACATATTCCAAGCTCTTACTCCCTTTTAGGTCAGCAACTATATGAGGGAGATCAAGTACAGTACATTTCATATGAGGGAAGGCTTCAACAACGGACTTGCCCACGGTTCCCGTCCCACCGGCCACGTCAACCAATGAATCCACTCCTTGAAACACCCCCTTGTAGTCATCAATCATCAAGCTCGAGATCAACCGGGCATCGCTAGCCATGGCGTCATTGAAAAAATGTGCAAGAGTCGGGTCCTGTTTCCCATAATCCCAAAATGTCATCCCATGCACCATGTGAAACGGTGTAGGATTGTCATTTTGGAACCAAGTGGTCAAAGACTGCCATGGATCGGTTAAGATGGGATTGAGCATGGCAAGTAAGAAGGGCCTTGCGCTCATGGGATTGTCTTTCAGGAGGAGTGCGGAGGCGTCTGTTAGTGAATAACCTTGTTCGCCGCCGCCACTCAGACTTTCTCTGGCAAAGAAGCCGAAGTGTACTAAGATTCGCATGAGGCGTTGGATGAAATGAGCTTTTTTTGGGGAAATCGGTAGGGTGGAGACAAGCTCGGAAAGAGTCATGGGTTGGCCATGTTTTTGGATGACATCTGGGATATCTAATTGAACTGCACATTTGAGGGACATAGAATTTATGAAGCTGAAAATGTGGTTCCAAATGTGGGCTTGTGCTTGGAGTAGCTCATGACTTGCTCTCTCTTCACTACCCATGCCTTGCTATTGGCTCAAGATTTGGTGAGAATTAAGATTGCTAGAGGAGCTTAATGCGATAAGGGGGAGAGAGATATATTTGGAAATTGGGAAACCCATGGTTTCCATGTGAACAAACTAATCCACGTGCTAGACATGTTAATTCGTTCTTGTATTTGATGGTCGACTCTATTTTTCTTCTTCTACTGTATGCAATTACTGTTATATGTAAACTCTTACAGCAAATAAATAACAATGATTCATAGTAAAATGTGGTTTGTGCACGCAAGACAACTGGCAAATATTGCTGGGGTCAGGAGAGCAAACGGAATTATAAAACTAAACTAATCCACTGTCCACACAACATGAATCATGTAAAAGTCATTATCTTTTCTCGCTAATAAAGTGGTTATTAATATATATATATATATATATATATTGGTTATTAACATAAAACATGTAAGGAGAATGCAAGTAGCTAGTGCAGATCACACAAGAACACACTAATTTAAAACATGCAAGTAGCGTCGATGCTGTCTACTCTACTGAAAAAGGGTTTGACTTGCACATCAATAGTCTTAAGTTCGAACTCTCATACAGTAGGGACCAAAGGGGTCCCATGCCCCTTATCAACTCTCTATTTTCTTCATTTTCTCTCGGTCTCTCTTCCCTTTCACTATGCCAATATTTTAAAACCACATCACTTAAAAGACATCAGAATTTCATTTAAGTGACGTGGTTATAAAATATGCTACAAACCACGTCGGTACGTCAATCCTCAATAAAAAAATGACGTTGATCAAAAACATGCTAAACTTAAGTTGTCAAAAGCACATCCGTATTATTAAAAAAACAACGTGGTTCAAAAACACGCTAATAAACTTAAGTTCTCTCTCAACCTAATTTTTCACGCCCCGTTCGATGAAAAGTTCTTTACCTCTCAATGAAGCCCTCTCCCTATCTGCGTTCAAACCCTCTCTCTCCCTCTCTATCACATCTCTGAAAGATGAGTACCGTGGGTTCGACCAGGGTGCGTATAGTCCATCGGCCATAGCGGCGTGGCCACCTGATTCTGACAGATTGCCTCATTCTAGCAAAGGGAACCTGGGTGCGTCTGCGTTGCCGTCGGAATGGCCGAACCGTACTGAAGGTGGGAGCCTAACGGAAGTAACAACGCCTGCCATGGTGGTGTAACGGTCGAATTGTTCTGACCATACTGTTGTGATGGCGTCGTGGTCGTGTTACTTGGGGCGGGCTGCGTCTGGATGGCCAAAGTATGAATTCGGCCGAGTTGCTGGATCGCGGAATGCATGGGGCTGCTTTGCCCTAATGATACGGCCAAAGCATGGAGTGGGCCGTACGCTGTTTCTGTTGGGCAAGCTGGTCCGGGATTCGCCCATGTGGGCTGGGACTGCCCTCAGCTATTCGTCGGCGGCTGAGAGTGCTGACCGTAGCCTGACGCTTGGGTGCGGCCATAGGCGCCGAGGCTGCTGCTTTGGCCATAGGGCTCAATCCTCTCGCGCTCTTGGCTTCTCTGTCCGGTTCTGGGAAGTGTTGCAGACGAGGCTACCGGCATCCTCTCCTGAAAAAGCGTCTGTAGCTCTGAGGAAAACCTATCCATTGCGGCCATAAAAGATGTCTTTATCCTATAGGCCTGCTTAGACATCAGATCTTCTACCACTGCTTGCTCCTGCATGGACTCGGTCGTGCGATCCGTCGTCATTGGAACGCTGGCCGAGATTCTGACCGCTTGTTCCCTAGTTTCCACCATGAGTTTTTGACAAGTGTCCCACTGGGCATGCCAAAAGTGTTGGCTGTGCGCAAATCTCACGGCCTGGTGCTCCAGGTTGAGGGGATATGCGTCAACACGTGACGTCCTTCTTTTGGATGCGGTGTGGTTGTGCGCGGGCGTGCCAGCACGGTCTACCGTGCATCGAGTTGGTGATGCGGTTTGGATAAAATGGTTAAGTGGTGCGCCTGTTTGAGTTCGACTCCTAATCAAACGATTGTGGTCGAGAGAGGAACTAATCTCGGCCGTTAGGTTCACGGCCTGAGCTACAAGGCCGTTTAGTGGTGGTGTTGATGGTGGGTTTTGGGCGGTGCTCCGGCGCGTTGCTCGGAGAGCGACGGTCGTATGATATATGGGGTGGATGAGAGAGTAACAAAGATGGTGCTCCGGCGCCTTGAAAATCAAGGGTCGTATGATATATTGATGAATGGATTTTCCTTACAGTCTATCACTACTCCTAGGAAAGCAAGTAAAGGTATTGAAAGTGCATTACAGGAAAATATAAATTTGCTCCGTGGGAGGCTTTTGGTTTGGTGTTTGAACCCTTTGAATGTAGTCTGAGCTTGGTATTTATAGGAGGAGCTCTGGAGGAGTAATCGAGGCTGAAAATCTGAATGGTGGAGCTTGATCAGAGCAAATGGGTAGTCCAATCGACATTTGGGATCGTGAAGCATGGTGGTGTGACCCCATAAATCCTGGTAAATCTTGGCTGCCGCCCTAATCGTGGGTTCTGAGCCTTTGGCCGTGGGAACGCATTAAATGCCCTGGTCTGGTGGTTGATGACCTGACCTCTCAAGTTGTAAGAATATTTGAGAGAATGTTTGCGCCTAACTACTCTGATTCCCATCGCCAAACCCTGACTTCAGTCACTTCCCATCTTCCCTCGTGCATTAAATGTTTTTTTGCGGCCCTACCTGCGTCCTTCGGCCTCGGCCGATAATACCACGGGAGGCCGAGAGGATTCTGCCTTCGCAGCTTTTCCTTTGTCTTTTAGGGAGGCAAATGCCTAACGAAAACGCCACGTTTCAGTTCATGGGCAGGTGCTAGGGCCGAGAGGTCAGCTTTACGACCGAGATTTATTAGGCACAAACACCACGATGCGCTCGAAGTGTTGATCGACCTCACTAGCCTTTAAATGTCAGGGAAACCAACAAAAGAAGAAGGAGCAGCGGCCATAACCAACCTGCTGGAAAGACTGTTGGAGCATTGGGCGGAAGAATCCTTACGGCCAAACTCACCGATCAACCTGATCGAGTTCCTCCACAAATCGGATGGCGTGGACGTTTTGACCATCAACGACTTGGAAACGGCGCCTGCCGAGATGGAGGATGGCTATCCTGAAGTTATGGATCCCTTATTAGAAATAAATGTAGGAATGGAAGCTGAACCATGGCCTCTTTTTGTAAGCCAACTTTTAAATTCAGAGTTAAAGGCCGAGATTATTGGCCTGCTCCATAAATATAAAGACTGTTTCGCTTGGGATTATCATGAGATGCCTGGATTGCTGAGAAGTTTGGTTGAGCATGAGTTAAAAATTAAGGAGGGTTTTAAACCATTCCAACAGCCACCAAGGCGATTTTCGATCGACGTACAGCTAAAAGTCAAGGAAGAAATTGAACAGCTCCTTAAAGTCGGCTTCATTCGAACGGCTCGGTACGTTGAATGGTTGGCTAATGTCGTACCATTTTTGAAAAAGACCAGGCCTTTGAGGGTTTGCACCGATTACAGGAATCTGAATCTCGCGACCCCTAAATACGAGTATCCCATGCCTATGTCCGACCTCTTGGTAGACAGGGCAGCGAAGCACGAACTCCTTTCCTTTACGGACGGTCATGCTGGTTATAACCAGATCTTTATCGCCGAGGATGATGTCCACAAGACGGCATTCAGATGTCCGGGGGCTGTCAGAACCTACGAGTGGGTGGTCATGCTGTTTAGTCTAAAGAACACCGGCACAACGTACCGACGGGCTATGAACCTTATTTTCCACGACCTTATTGGGCGAACCGTTGAAGTTTACATCGACGACGTGGTCGTCAAATCCCCATCCAGGGCTGACCACGTAGGACATCTCCGTCAGGCGTTCAACCGAATGAGAGTGCACAGCCTGAAGATGAACCCTAAGAAGTGTGCCTTCGGTGTCACGGTCGGGAACTTCTTGGGTTTCTTGGTCCATCAACGAGGGATTGAGGTAGATAAGAATAAGGCTAAAGCCATCATGGCGGCACCTCCACTGAGGACCAAAAAAGAACTTTAGTCATTCCTCGGCAAAGTCAACTTTTTGAGGCGTTTCATATCCAACTTGGCAGGCAAGATCCGGCCATTGACTCCTCTGCTCAAATTGAAGGACATGGAACAATTCGTCTGGGGGCCAAGCACCAGACGGCTTTTGACGAAGTCAAAAGGTACTTATCCCAACCGCCAATCCTTATGCCGCCAAGAAGAGGAAAACCCTTGAGGCTCTACATTTCGGCTTCTAAGGGCTCTATCGGCTGTCTACTGGCGTAGAACAACGAGTCTGAGCGTGAATAAGCCGTACACTATCTTAGCCGCACTCTTAACATGGCCGAGCTAAACTATTCACCGTTCGAAAAATTGTGCTTAGCATTTTATTTCGCGACCACCAAATTGCGTCATTATATGCTTCCTTCGGTCGTTCAGATCATCTCCAAGACCGATCACATCAAATACATGCTCACCAAGTCGATCATACGCTGTCGAATTGGTAAATGGACAATGGCTTTGTTAGAGTTCACCTTCCAGTATGTAGCTCAAAAGTCGGTCAAGGGTCAAGCTTTGGTCGATTTTCTGGCTCACCACCCGGCTCAAGGATAGGAGGAGGAGATGGAAGTCGAAATCGGCATGGCCTGCATGGAAAAGAACTACTGGACCATGTACTTTAACGGCTCAAGTACCGAGACTATATCCGGGGCCAGAGTCATGATTGAATCCCTGTTTGTGCCTGATAGATCACGGCCATGAGCTGGCCGAAGAAGTCCTTTCTCTCGGCCCTGGCACTTGTTCGCAGAGGCCGAAACGCAGCGTTTCGCCAGGGTATTTCGCCTTCCTAAAAAAGAAGGGAATGCTAAGGCATGATCATCTCGGCCTCAAGCGTAGGCCGAGGCCGAGGCCGAACAAAATT